TTGAAAAGTGCTACAAAAGCTGAATGGCAACTTGCCAAACCCTGTGTCATTGTGGTTTTTTTCTAGTAAAATTGCACTTTAAACTTAGGCATATACCAAGCAATTCTTACTATGAATAAGTATTTTCAGTAACATCTGCAGTTATTGTGAGTTATTTTCAAAGCCAGATGACATGGAATTGTGATGTATTTTTGTGTAACCACGTTTTAGACACGTGTCATTTGAGATCTTTTTGTTTTTTAACTGCAGATGCATCTTGATGAACAAGCTATATAGCTGCTCCTATAGAGTTTTCTTGTTATTGACTCCTTTCCTTGTTTAAGAAGACTTGCTTTTGCCTAATCCAGTGTAGCTTCGTTATTTTTTAGTGCTTCCAGAATTCCAAGAAAACGTATCATTGCTGAAAGTCAGCTACCACGAGAAAAACTTCAGATTAAACCATCTGCAAAATGGTTTGATTAGTCTATTGCCTAAAACTTCTGATCATTTGCTTTACAAGAATGCATTTCAACAGTTTGCTGAGCTTTAAGCATCTCATAGCTGCTATTACTAAGAACCTTGTTTTGAAAATTACTTAAGAGACATCTTTCCAGTTTTTCTGGGCCTGGCCAAGCCTTGACTTTACCTGGATGGAATGTTTGCCAACAGACTCAGATGTCTTCTGCGCCAAATCAGTATTTGAGTCACTTTTGACTTGGCAATTTGACCCTATTAATATGACAGCTGGATCAATTTTGAAGTGGGCTTGGAGAATCATTTCCGGAGGTGGTTATCCAATCTTTTACTGATTTTATTTTCTGTTTGCAGACTATGGGATGCTGGTGCAGTGTTTTAGTGGTTACTAGTAATTCTATATGTATGTTATTAATAATGTTTATTATCTGACTGATTTCTGTCTGCTGTAGGTTTTTCATTCATTTTATTTTTGTATTGATATTAATATGCATGATAAAAGTCACTTCTAAAAACAAAAGGAATTGATGCCCTGAAAACATTCAATTAATGTAAAATGTGCATTAGAAATTTAGACCACAATTTATTTTGAATAATGAAATATTTACATCAAAGATTTAGAAAGATTGTATAAGCTGAATTTACAATTACGTGTACCACAGCTAAGCCAAAATGATTCATTAACTCTGAGGGGAGAAGTGCCTATGTTTTGTTGACAGGTTCAAAAAGGTCACCTATCCATCTAACCAGACTGACTGCCTCTGAAAACATGAGATCTAGTAAACAGAGTCACCATACAGCCTTAGTACCCCAAACAAGATCAGAAGTGGAGCTGCCAAGACACAGTTGTGTCTGAAAACTACACAGACAGTTTGCCAGCAGAGGTTTTATGTTGTCATCATGATGTTGTGTCTTTACCAGTTTTCTTCAGTTATTCCCTGTTTTAAGACTTCAAAGAATGTGTTGTATGAATCTTTCTAACCACTCAGTCTCTATCCATGAACAACTAAAACAGCTGCAAAACAGGTTACATGCCCTGAAGGAAGTTGATGACCCCATTAGAAGCTGGTTAACCAGTTAAAGCATAACTAAGCAGTTAAAATCTCTTGTACTATAAAAAAAATGAAATTTTTGTTATAGTACTAATAAGGTTAATTAATGTAAACTGTATATTTTCCTATGTCCGTAAAAGTCTGAAGCTAATCGTGTCCAAAGCCTGGGTTGTGCAAAAATAAAAAGGGGAATTGCAGGAAAATATTTAAGAGCAAGACTGTCTGCACAACCCAGCTCTCAATCCAGGCAACAATTCTAAGGGCACTGTCCTTGAAACTCTCCTGGAACAGTGAGAATAAAGAAAAACAATGGCATTGTGTATAAGGAAAAGAATGTTAAACAATATGTATTAACCACTAGTAGCTTGTTAAACTGCACAAACCCTGTAGGACCCTATAAAAGTGTGCTAAAGATAGAAATAAACGACGTTTGCTATACCTCTCTGAGGACTCGGTGAATAGTCTGAGTGGTTTTCCATTAAGAGGGATACCAGTACATACCAGTATTAGTTGACACCTTCAGCGGATGGCCAGAAACTTACCCCTGCCACACAAACACAGCCAAGGAAGTAGGGAAAGTTTTGCTAAATCATATAATTCTGAGGTTTGAGGTTCCCTTGGGAATGTCATCAGATAGCGGACCACATTTTGTTGCAACAGTGGTTAAAGAAGTTAGCTGGATTTTGGGAATTACTTGAGATCTGCATACACCTTATAGATCCCAAGCAAGTGGTAAAGCTGAATGTATGAATGGGACTCTCAAATCACAAATGAGCAAAATTTGTCAGGAAACATCCATGACATAGGTTCAAGCCTTGCCTATAGCTTTACTGATAATCTGCATACAATCAAGGGGGAGAGGTAACATCAGTCCCTATGAAATACTGGTATGATATGGTACTGATATGATACCATACTGATATGATATGGCACGCCATATCAGATTCTGCATATTCCAGGTGAAATTCACATGTAGAAGAAACTTGACCTGCAGAGATTCTCCTCTTTGCAGAAGCTTCAGACTTACATTGTCCTATCCAGACCCATAGGACTGAACAGACCAGCACATCCCTTCTAACCTGGAGACTGGGCTTATGTTAAGTGGTGGGACAGTGATCCTCTGCAAACCAAGTGGAGAGGACCATTCCAAGTTCAGCTGACCATCCTCACTGCAGGCAAAGTGGCTGGCAAAGGGCCCTGGATTCACTACTCCAGAACTAAGAAAGCTTCTGCTCCTGAAACAACTAAAGACAGACTGATAAAAAGAGACTGCAAAAAGAGAGACTGATGTAGAAGAAAAGCTGCTTTAAATTATTCCCCTTCTGTGCCTAAAGAATCATAATAATCATTATACTTCTTGGCATGATACCCAACTGTGCAAGACATCGCTACTGTTAGATGTTTATTACTGTTTATTATTATTATGTTTATGTTTATGTTTATAATTATTATTAGATATTATTTTATTAGATTATTCAATTGTTATCATTAGATATTTATCTAGTTATTTATATTACTATATATTTATCTAGTGTCAGATATTAATCTATGTTAGATATTTACTGTTATTAGATATTTATTTAGTGTTAGATATTTATTTACTACTAAATATTTATCTGTTGTTAGATATTTATTATTTTTAGATTGTTGGGGGTTGGGTTTCTTTCTTTTGTATTTATAGAATTTTTTCCCATAAGTTGCTAGGAAACTAACTATTGGGTACTTATGGGTACTTAAGAAAAACAAGTGTGGCCAAACTCTGAGGAGGGGGGAGGGGATACCTGGAGATTTGGACAGGCAGAAAGATGGGGGTTGGGGAGCACAGTCTGTGAAGCAAAGCCTCTCTTCCATCCCTTCCTGTCTCAGACAAAGCTGCCATTACCACGTGCTCCCCGATCCCGCGCCACAGTGCCCCCTGCAGCCGCGGGGGAATCACCACACCTGCCCTGTCCACTGGGAGCATCAGCGCCCCTGCCGGCTGTGAGCGGAACTGCACCAACGGGGAAAGTGCCTGTGGCTGGGAAGGCTGTCACTGGGTTCCTGGTTCTGTTTGTTGTTAATCCTGTAGTTGCTGTTTGTTTGTTTTATTAGACATACCAGTAAAGAACTGTTATTCCTGTCCCTATATCTTTGCTTGAGAGCCCCTTAATTTCAAAATTATAACAATTTGGAGGGAGGGGGTTTACATTTTTCATTCCAAGGGATGCTCCTGTCTTCCCTAGCAGACACCTGTCTTTCAAACCAAGACATAGATGTCTATTATTGTTAGCTGTTTACTACTGTTAGATATTTATGCTATTAAATACCTATTATTAGTAGATATTTAGAACTGAGACTCAACAAGGTAAAAGCCTTGTCAAGCCTCTAAAGGGGGGAGATGATGCCTTAAGTTTTAACTTTCATATTTTTTAGATTCTGTGCTGCCTAAGTGTGCAGTTTTGAGCTTCATATTAAATGTTAGTGGGCTTAGGTGGACAGAGCTTGAAGCTACCTGGTCTAGTAGAACATGTCCTTGCCCATGACAAGGGAGTTTGAACTAGATGATGTTTAAGGTTCCTTCCAACACAAAATATTCTAGGATCTTATTGTTCTGTGGTTCTGTGATTTGAGAATTCTATGAAAGTTTCCTTTTTAGAGAAGAAACACCTACTTTTAGGTCCTATAGGTACGTTTTTTGCCTCCAGTGACTCATGGCTGCTCTGCTGGGGGCACAGAAACTGCCAGGAGTCTGCCCTGGCCTAGGGTCTCCATAGGCTCCAGCTTCCTGGTGGAGCTGTTGATGATCACCTTAGGGTACAGCACTGCTGGCTGGATTCTCTTTTAGGCATCCCAAGCACCTTGAGCATAGGAGGAAGATCACCTGGAGGGTGAACCAGGGCTTTCCCATCCCTCTTCTCGAACAGGGGCACCTGCAGACACTTGTCCATGATCTTGCACAGAGGACTATGGAATATGTCCAAGGATGGAGCTTCCAGGTGCTCACTCAGTAGCTTCTGCTGGTGCTCAACACCTTTTACAACACCCTTCCTGAACTGCAAGGAGTCCTTGCCAGCCTACCTATTCAGCCTGCCCAGGTCCCTCAGGGATAGCAGCACAACCCCTGGCCTAAGCGCCAGTCTTCCAGTTTGCTATCATGTGCCAATTTGCTGAGCATGTCCTCTGCCCAAGCAGACAGCTGAGGAAGATGTTAACCAGGATCAATCCCAGTGCTGATTCCTGGGAGACAGTGTTTGTTCCTGGCACCACAACAGACTTGGTGGCACTAAGCAGCACCCTCAGGGCCCAGCCATTCAGCCTTTTTCAGTCCCTGTCACTGCTGGCTCATCCAGTTCATGTCCTTTCAAGTGACTTGAACTCCATATTTAAAAAAGGGATTGCCAGTTAGGCACATGTAAGCATGCAGCTTTCAAAATCCTATTACACAAACATCCCACAGAAGGCATGTCCACCAATTGCCCCAAAACCTACAGAGAAGGAAACACTTTACAAATTATATACACAAGGCTAACAAGGGATTTTAATTCTGCCTTTGTCTTTTCTGCCTGTTTGTTCCAAATGAGTGTTTCCTCCTCCTCTTTGTTGACTGGTGGTAGTCTGTGTTCTCCACAAACTGTCTGCGGAGATCATAGCCCTGCTGTGGTGATCTGCCCTGCTTTCTCTGCCTTGGCAGGGATTGCTTCTGAGAAGCACTGGGTGCACAAGGGTTCCCCTTGGAACTCACATTCAAGGATCCTTCCAGTGTATCATCCTTTGGGTCTTGGTCACAATGTGGAGGGCTTCTTTCCCACCAGCTCCTCCTCCTCCTCCTCCTCACTGACTGGCGGTAGTCCATGATCTCCACAAGTTGTCTACAAAGATCATAGCCCTGCGGTGAGGACTGGCTTTGCTCTTTCTGTCTTGGCAGGTGTTGTACCCAAGAACCACTGGGTGCAGGAGCCCACTGACTGTTGAAGGGTTCTGAAACTGTGCCATCCTTGAGAGCATGGTCATGACCTGGAGGACTAGTTCTCTTTCTCTTCCTCCCTGTTGAGTTGTTGGAGTCAGTGCTGTTTATGAACAAGCTGCAGTGATCCTTTCCCCACTGCAGGGATCGATTCTGGATCTTCTCCCTGGCACTTGTCCTCTGGCAGTGCATTGACACAGTCCTACCAGGTTGACCATGTGTCCTTGCAGAACCCGCCTGCTCACTGCTAGCCTCCCACTGACTGAAGAAGGAATGGGCATAGGATGGTGTCAGAGAGGAAGCCATCATTCCTCCCATTTTCAAATCAGAGCATCTGGAGGAAAAAAAAAAAAAGTGATCTCTATTTAAGGCATTTTTTGCAGGCTCCTCTGGGATTCAGTAATTTTTTTGGAGTGGTTTCTACAGCAGAGAGATTTCACCAGGATCACAAATGAAAAATTCGATGGGGGTCTTCCCACCAAGTCTGCCCCTGTTAGAACATGTCCTCATTTCTCATCTCCCTAGAGCATCCATTTCACAGAATCCTAGACAGGTTTGGTTTGGAGGGTTCCTTACATATCATCTAGTTCCACCTCCCCCTACCATGAGCAGAGATATCTACAGGTTACTCCAACCTTCATCCAGCCTGGCCTTGAACACTTCCAGGAATGGGGCAGCCACACATTAGAGAAGCTCATAGACAACTTCTGCCAGTGCCTCACCATCCTCACAGGCAAGAATTTATTTCTAGTAATAACCTAAAACTGTCTTTCACTTTGAAATTTTATCTCTTGTCCTATCACTGCGTTCCCTGATAAAGAATCCCTCTCCATCGTTCTTGGAGTCCCCTTTAAGTCCTCTCAACATGATGTAGTTTCAGAGAGCACACAAGAAGCAGCTTACAGAGGCCAGTACCCTAAAGCCCACCAAGAGGACTGCTATGACATAGTTCAGAATTGACAGCACTGAAGTTAGCAGTGATGAATTGTCTCCTATGACAGAAACACCCAGGAGGATGAGAAGACAAACAGCAAAGCCAGGAAATGGAAACATATTCTGAGCACATGACCCTGGTTATTACCTGGCATAGAACAGCAAATAGGCTTGCTGCCTGAGAACTGCATGGATGCCACAATTATCCACAGTCTCATCATCCATCTTGTACCATAGTCCATTGCTGGCCTGCAAAGAAAGTCATCCATGTCTGGAAAGGAACTGCAGGTTTTCTCCACAACATCAAAGAGAGAGAGCAGCTGAACAAAGAGTACACCAAAACAAATCCAAATCAGCCCTGAAGGAGACCTTCTCTCCAAAAAGCCTTGGATACCTTTAACACTGAGAAGGAAATTTGTCTTCCCAGCACAAGTTGCTGTCAAGAGAGAAGTTGCTCTTTACCTTTGTGTAGCAGAAGAAGTGTCCATCAAGACAGGTGTCACCGCTGTGCACCACAAGAGCATATAAGGAGTAGAGGAGGGGCTCTCCAGCTGTGTCAGACATGTATGGCCGAAGATTCAAGTACTCGGGATACTCAACAATCTACAGAAAGACCAAGTGGGCTCAGAAACTATCCTGAACTATCACATGAAATATCCCTTCAGCACATAATGGTTTGGGCAGCAAGGAACTGTTCTCAGCGAAAACAGCTCTGTTGGAGCAGAGTCCAGGGTGGTCTTCTCATAGGTACTCTTCTCTCCCCATAACAGAACACAAAAACCCCAACATAAGCAGCTTCTGAAAGAATGCTTTGGAGAATATCTTGCTGCAAAGAGAAAGTTGCACTGCAGTTGCATACACACCTTGCTTATCTTCTTGCCTGTGTGATCGGCAGCTCTTTCCAGGCACACTGTGAAGACTTTGGGCACATGATGAACTGTAACTCTTTTAGAGGCAGTTACCTTCTTCTCACACCTTGAAACAAAGGCAGAGCCAGGTGCTGAAATGCACTCTGTCTTTGCCCAACAAGACCAGAAAAGCTTTTGTGTCTCACATATCCTTACAGTATTTTAAGACTATTCCATGCCATAAGGTCACATAAAAAAAAATACAGTATCTCATTATTGTTCTTTGAAACTCCATGAGAAGATGATTCTGCTCATTACATGCAGCTTCTTCACAGAGAATCAAGTGTTAATATGTTGTTATAAATCATCTTACTTGCTACATTTGAGGCAGTATTTTCCATCCAGCTCCTTGGGTGTCACAAAGTCCTCCAGAGCTGTGGTGAGGGATGAGGGTTCCTGGACAAGTGAGAAAGGAGCTGTTGAGCTGTGGGAAATACCAGTGCTGGAACACTTCCAAGGAGTCAACAAGAAGTGGGGGGG